ATACTCCGCTTGGTTTCTTGAATGTTTCTTAACCGGGATGTACCGTTAGAAACAAGTACTGCCCTACGTCGTAGATAAACTCGATCTCGTCCGGAATAACATCGTAGTTGTCGGTCCGTGTTTAGAGTCGAGAGCAAACGATCAAATTTCGAATTAATTACGGATCACCACGTTGACAGTGAAGGAGACCATCCGCGCTCTCGCAGACACTTGTGATTGTGACTTCAATGCAGAGAGATCGCTCCCCGTTGGATGTAAATCAGAGTTGACCACGTAATTAAAGCAATTCTTAACGAAACTTTTCGAGTTTAATTAATCTCTACTCTGCTCCGGCGAACAAATAAATATTTTTGATGGACGCGTGTAATAAAAGGGAAACGCGCGGTCAAGTGTTTCTAGTGTTTCTTTCTGTGTTCTATGAAAGGAGATATCGTAATGCTAAATTCAAACGTATAAATTTTAAGAAGTGTCGTCAGGTAAATCTGTGCGATTTTCTTGCTTTTGGTACCAAAAAGCAAAATTAATCGCTAACGGTGCTCGCTTTTTTGAGAGGTTTCGTTGCTCTTGACAGGTTTTGTGGCAAAGTCTTTTAAAAAGTATTAAATATTTGATAATGCTACATATATTTTTTGCTGTTTTCTAAAAAAAACCTATTTTATAATTTAGCATTTATTTACTCAGCCTTTGATGTTTTAAAATAACATAATAAATGTTTTGTAAAAATGTATTGTTTTGTATAAATCATATAATGCTAATTTCTCTATTACGGATAATATAAAAATACCCATACAGCACGCATGTCTAAAAGGCATCTTTAAGATGTCTTTAAGTCGTCTTTTAGACGTACATACCTAAAAGATGACTCAAAGACGTCTTAAAGATGCCTTTTAGTCATACGTGTTGTTTGGGTAACTAATAATCAGATTAAAATTGATAACGCACAAATTAAAAAACAAACAATAGGCCTAGAGGAATTAAAAATGAATATACATATATCTTTCTTTAAAAAAATGTTAAAAAATAAGTACTGAAATGGTTTCATATAAAGGCATTTTTAGAAATACACCAAATTCAAAAGTACATTTTCAATTAATGTGGAAAGCTATAACCTCCAAATACAATTTTTTAACGATATATATGGAGAGGAAAAGATAAACTCTGAACTATGCAGTCAATAATGCTATAAAAGTAGATCTTATAAATAGATTTACTTTTCTCTGTGCGTGTTGTCGAAGTGAAAATGAGGTCACCCATTCAGCACTCTCTAAAAATCAATTAGTGAATTATCACTGGAAACAGTGAATAGCCACTGATTTACAGTTATAAGTATACCACTGAAATTTTCAGTAGTATATTTATAACTGCAAATCAGTGGCTATTCACTGTTTCCAGTGATAATTCACTAATTGATTTTTAGAGAGCACGCATTGTAATTAAATTTGATCATAAAGAATGCGTTATAAGAAATGTTACGAGTATACATATAATTTTACCTTAATAAGATATACAGGGTACTAAAAAACTAAGTGCCATAAATTTATGTGATGAAAGAATAGATGAGTACAAGCATTTTAAGTACTGGAACCATAGGTCGGTGACGTTTTATTACGGCGTGACGAGTGATTAATTGAATCGTCACAATTCCTGCAATGCAGGTGGATCGGACGGGGTGGACCTGTGACGTGGCCTGCAAGGTCACCAAATTTAACGCCTCTCGAATTCTTTTTCTGGGGTGCAATGAAAAATATGATTTATTCTGAAAAAGTCGAATCCGAGGAGGATCTGGTCGCTCGCATCATAGAGGCATCTGAAATCATCCGACACATGCCTGGAATATTCCAAAGAACGCGGCAGTCATTGCTCCGTTGCTGTGACTTGTCGGAACGTTGGAGGTCGTAACTTTGAACAGTTATTGTAAATACATATATGAAATTGACGAAATAAAATCATTGCGTCGCAAACGTTGTGACGATTTAATGAAACGCCCATCACGCCGTAATAAAACGTCGCCGAACCATGGTTCCTATACTTAAAATGCTCGGACTCGTCATTCTTTTATCACAGAAATTTATGGCACTCAGTTTTTTAGCACCCTGTATACATACAAACGCACACATACACACACGCACATACATACATATACCGTAAGAAAGAGAGAGTAAGAGGGGGGGGGGTCAGGAAATGGTATCGTACATACGTGTGAGGTACACGCACACAAAAAAGCAGGTAGCTTTATGATATGGACTATCCGCATGCTTGTATAATGCGTGTGTCTCAACATATACAAACCCATTTCTTCCAGTGCGTATAACATATATCTTATCTATATATATGTATATATAGATATATAGATATATATATCCGGCGCGTATATATATATATCTTATCTACAGTCACGTTCAGTTTTCAGTTTTAGTAGAGTATTCCTTTAGAGAGGATGCAAACAGAAATACAATTATACTGTAGATAGTTGAATCTCTTGCAAACGACCTAAAAATCTGATACGAATAGTAGTAGAATTGCAAATCTCTGAGTTATATATAAATCGCGTGTATGAATCTAGTGCAAATTGTAGAAGCACAAAAAAAAATTTAAGAGCTAATGTTCTTATCAAATCTTGCACTACGTTAACATTTATAAGAAAATTGTTTATCGTCAGATTTCAGGTTAACAATGGTGCTCGTAGAATTAATCGGGGCTTCCGTCGTTGCCCTGAGCATTGTGTACCTTTATTATAAATTTGTGATATTCAATTTTTGGCGCAAGAGAGGTGTTTTTTACCTCGAACCCGTTGTACCGACGGGAAATATAACGAATCTCATACTTGGAAAAGTGCAAGTAGGCAAGTAGTGCTGGTCTATCTATACGAAATATTAATGTGCATGTAGTATATATCAAGACACTATAATGTTGATTAGTTTCAATATTTAACTAAAATTGGAAAAACAAAATTAATATTTAAACTAAAAATAACTTAAACACTTTAGGAACAATGTGGCAAATTCAAATTATATGTATACTACTTATGAAATACTCATCAATTATATTTTATGTTAAACTTTTATATTTTACAAATTCATTGTTCGTAATTTTTTTAAATACACAATTAATATATTTTTATCATTTAATTAAAAAGATAAAATTAATATTTGGAACTAAAACTAGTTAAGAATCATAAAATTTAACAGCCATATAGTAAATTAAAAATACATGTACAACTCCCACTAAATGTACTTTTATATTTTACTAAACTGTAATTGCCATATTATAATTTAGGTATAACAATCATATTTAATTTATTATTGAACTTTATCATTACAAAGAACATACTATTTTTACAAAATAAATGACATTTTGTTGTTTATTTTAGTGCTATTAACAAAACCTACAAAAGTAACTTAAAAAATTCAACAGGTGTATTTCTCCATGATATCTACATCAAATATAAGCATCATGGCGTTATTGGAACCTATTCACTCTTTAAACCAAATTTGATAATTGCCGATCACGATCTTGTACAAACGGTGCTAACAAAGGAATTTGCAAGTTTCCATGATCGTGGAACGTATTGCAACGAGAAACTTGACCCATTGTCCGCTCATTTGTTTTCAATGCCTGGGAAGAAATGGCGAAATATGCGAGTCAAGATGACACCCACTTTTACTTCGGGAAAATTAAAACAAATGTTTCCAATCCTGCAGGAATGTGGCGAAAAACTTGCAGAATATCTAGAGTGTAAAGCAAAGATGAAAGATTCCATCGAGGTAAAAGATATATTTGCAAGGTAAGTTTTATTTGAAGGAACTAATATACATAAATGGAATTGTTTGTTAATGAAAAAAAATTTAACTAAAAAATAAATACAAAATACTGAACATAAAATAAGGATAAGTAGTTTGTGCTAGAGTAGATGATTCTTTTGTACAAAAATGTTTTAATTGATTTAGTATTTATTGCTTAACGAAGTATAAAGAAAATATTAGTTAAAAATAAAATATTGCTGCTTAATAAATGCATCTTACATACAGTATTTTTCGAACTCACGGCATTCTTGCCAACATGTATTTTCAAAGTATGTCGACATAATTACAAGTAATGCAGAAGATAATTTATCTAAATGAGCAAAAGTCGAAGATCAATTATTTTTAATAAGGTCATTCATACACACATAAAAAATTATCAATGAAATACGTTCGACTTTGATTCTTAACGGTTCCCAACGTACATGTAGGCGTACATTCTTTTATATTTCGTCATACAATTTCGTCATACCAAAGCGTAGTAAAACTTAATTATCTTGTTTGTTTGAATTATTTTCATGATATATGTTAACAACTATAGTATATCGCAAATTTAATAGAATTTATTAAACTCTACTAAAAAAAACGTGTTAATTTTACTACTATAGATATACAACGGATGTAATCACGTCAATGGCATTAGGTATCAAAACTAATTGCATTGAGGAGCCGAATAACGAGTTTTGTACCAAGGGAAAAAAAGTTTTTGAGATGAGTCCTATTTGGATCCCTCTTTTTATATTTGTGCCGCAAGTAATGGAATTCTTTTCCATCCCCTTCACAGACCGATCAGTCACCAAGTTTTATATGAATTTGTTTCGAGATAATGTGGAACATAGGCGAGCTCATAATATTGTAAGATATGACTTTATGAATTTGCTCATGCAACTCATGGAGAGAGGCTATGTTGACCCTGACGATGACAAGGAGGCAACTAATGAATCATGTTAGTATATTTTATGTTCACTTTGACATTAATAGTTTGACCATGTATGTTACAAATATTACGTACACTAGGAATCACTGATGCCTTCCAACATGAATTTGTGCATCAACATATTTATACATTTTGCATATTCATACATGGAAAATGTATATGTATTCTACCTGTGCCTGAAGTTATATGGGAAGGCATCAGTGATTCCTGTGTACGTACATATATGTACATGTGTTATAATAATATTTATATAAAATAATTTGTATAACGTAATTAATGTGATCATAAAAAAAAGTCGAAATATGGATTTCACAACACGAAAATATAAAATATATACAATATATACACTTATATGCACTACCGTTCGAAAGTGTGGAAGCAGTCAAGTTAGAGAATTTTAGAAGAAGAAATGTTTTCTACAAGTGATTCAGGTATAAATATGATAAACCTTTATTACGGGTGGTTTAATTAAACATATCAACATGTAATTTTTTGTTTAACTAAAAAACATGACAGCTTCCAAACTTTTGAATGTCAGTGTATAGCATTGGGTAAATAAAATTATTTCTTAACACGTTTTACACTCTTGTCAATAATATTATATTGTTTTATTTGTCCATAGCAACCAAAAGTAGACTCACTATGGCGGAAGCAGCTGCGCAAAGTTATATCTTTTTCATAGCTGGTTTTGAAACTTCCTCAACGACAGCGACATTTGCTCTTTACGAATTAGCACAAAATCATGATATACAAGACAAAGCACGCAAGGAAATCGATGAAATAGTAAAAGAACATGGTGGTCTGACTTACGACGCTCTGAATGAAATGACATATCTTCACAAAGTAGTAAAAGGCAGGTACTCTATATCACATTGTGTCTCCACTTATTCTCAGACATCAAACAAAAGATGAAGATCTTAATGCACAAAGTCACTTCATTATTTCTATAAGCAAGGTGCTCTGGGACATCTTATATACTTGTTCAACAAATTGTTTGCATTTTGGAAGACATGAGTCTTAATACTTTTCTTTTACATATTTCAGAAACTATGAGAAAATATCCACCGCTTCCAGTATTGAATCGCACATGTACCAAAGAAATAGACTTACCTACAATAAATATTCGCATACCAACGGGAACGTTAATAACTATACCAGTACTTGGGCTGCATCGAGATCCGTCAGTATATCCAGACCCAGATAAATTTGATCCCGAACGATTCAATGTAGACGTGGTAGCAGAGAGACATCCTTATGCTTATTTACCATTCGGGGAAGGTCCGCGAATATGCATCGGTAAGAATATGAATTTATGTACTATTATATTTTATTTCACCTCATTATTTCTAAACTATTTGTGCTACATGCATTACTTACATACCTATTTTCTATGGCAATTATACTTAAGGTGACAATAATGGTCATTTCGATTCTTTTATTTCAAAATTTTACAGACACTGTTTTCTGAAGATAGAAGAGTCCCTTTTTACACAACGTTTCCTTACTATCTACTGCCATAATAATTTTATACCTATGTTGGATACTCTTTTAAATACAAAAGTACAACATTAGTTTATAAAATATCAACAGAAAACATTCACATTAATATAAAAACATGTAGATTTCGTTTTTTAAGGTACTCTTGAAATATGGACTTTTATAAAAGCAGATAAAACTGTACAACAGCTTAATTTTTTATCATTATAGATGTATATAAACATAATTAAAAATATACGTTACCTATAAAAATCACCTACTAAATTGCTTACGCGATCCAATCAGGATTTCGCCTTAAGTCATCTCATCTGAAACTCTGCTTCTTTATTGGCTCTAGAGCGGAACAAATTAAATAAAAGTTCTATACTATTTTGCAAAATTCGCAATAATATTTGAATAAGAAATGTTTGAGCGAATGAATGCACGAGAATTAATGATACTCTAATATTTTCTATTTTCTATCTACTAATATTTTCAGGTACTCGATTTGGCTACATGCAAACAAAAGTTGGGCTTGCAAGTCTGCTGTCAAAATATAAATTCAGTCTTCACCCCCGGACTCGGGTTCCTGTTATCTTCAGCGAAAAGTATCTAGTTCTTTCAGCGAAAGACGGTGTACACTTGATTATAGAGCCAAGATAAAATACTAATAACATGTACTCTAACATACATGCACATTATTTTTATCATTATATAATTCTTATAGTATGTACTAATGTAAGCGGGTTTATATTGATCTTTTTGAACCAATGATAAAACAAGCCGTCTCCAAAGACGAGCTTTCTACTTATATGTTGCATATACTATGTATATGTATAATAACATTATTTCATTAAAAGCAACCCAGATACAACTAATTTTTATACTTTAAGGAATTTAGTGTAACTAAAAATAAATGTCAAAAAGTCTTAATAAATAGAGGTTTGCAAATGAGCCATTTTTTAGATACTTGCAATAATATGATAACTTAATTTACTTAATTCGTAAAAATACTTCTTCATGGATCAATAATCTCGGTAATCATAGCAACGAGTTGACCCGTTTAAAAGAAAAAGTAAAAATAATAGGAATAAAAAAATTAAAAATACCTCAAAAACGACTCATTTGCGGACCTAGATTTATTAAGACTTTTCGTCTTATTTGTGGGCATGATAAATTCTTTTAAATAGTTTACACACTTTTTTTTCAACACCCTATATCTTAATTTATCTCCAATATTATTGGACCAATATTGCTGCTTCGACAAATTGGCTAAATAAGAGGAGGCGTCCACCTTACAATGTTGTACCAATGTTGTTGACCAATTCGTACCCAATCTATAACATTGCATTGACATTATTTTCCAATATTGTGCTGCAATACTTTGTGTTACTAGGGCTTTATCGACACTTTACAATCCAAATGCAGATATGATATTTTAATTTTCGTTGCAAGAAAGTAACTGCAAAGTAACGATTCGTTACTTTTTGAGTAAATGGCCTAGTTTACATCGTGTATTTGATACGCGTATCAAGTACTATATTCGTACCAAATAATTAAGTACGCACGATGTAAACGCTGCCGGATCAACTTGGTACGAGCATATCAATTAGGAGTATCATACTAAACTGATACGCGTATCAAATGATACAAATGACGATGTAAACGCATGAAACTCATTTTGTTCGTTTCATACTTTCATAACCTGTCCCAAAATGACATCTTTCACGTTACGTCAAAATAAAAATAAAAATAATAGTCTGTTAAAGTGCATGTTATATACA